CATACTTGCAAGCGGACGGACCAGACGAGCTTCCCGTCCGGTCCGCTTTGCCGCGTGCGGCACCCTCCCCCCGGACCAGACGGACCCGGACTGGATTGTTTTGTTTTTTTTGGGGGGGGGGGGGGGTAACTGGTCGTCGGGCGCACATTCGTGCGCCGCGCGGGTCTGGTCCGGCGGTCCGCCACACGTGCGGAACCGCACGGACGGCGTCCGCTCTCAAGTATGTTAAGTCTCATTTTTTTTAACTATTTTTTTTTAATCTGTAATTTAGCAAGCGATTTCAAGGTGACACTTGGCCAAAAGTTGCTATGCAATTCAACACAACCTTTTTTTTCCCCCCAATAAAACAAAGGTCTATTTTTTTCCTGATATAATGCGCAGGGACGGCCTGGGACCCTGGCCCGCAGACCCCAATTCCCCGAGCCTGCCTGGTGGGTACCCAAGCGATCCCCACCCAGTTGGGCCGTACGCGGATTCTAGCACAACATTAACTTGATTTTTATCTTAAGTCTCTTCTAATCTGGAATTTGCAGCTAATTCCGAAATGATCCTCAGCCAAAAACTGTGTAACCGATGGGCCTAGCTCAGTTGGTACACCCAATGAACTCTGTTGAAATACAGACCAAAGTTCGAATCCAGTTGCGATCAGATGAACAGAATAATATAAATCTGAAAAATCTGCATGATACCTGGGGACGGTCAGCTGAATGGTGATATCTCAAGGCTGAATGATGATATCTCAAGGCTGAATGATGATATCTCAAGGCAGTCACCCTTCTAAACCACCAGTATTTGGCCCAGCTATCGGCCGCCGAAAAAAATAGAGAGAAACGTTTCTAGTCGGATGAATTTGAGTGCTTCTGTAGTGGCCCGTACGTTTCCTAAAGTCGCGGCTTGTGTACCGGCACGACTTTAGGAACTACTACTGGTGGTTTAAAATAGAAGAAAGAGGAAGGGAGGGAAAGAAAAAAAAGAAGAGAAGAAGGCTGTGGGTATTGCAATTCTTCACAGCACGTTTCTTTCCACCATTTTGTTTTTTTCAAAATTTTGTGCCGGAGCTACCCGCAAGACCTGGCGCGGGCCAATGCCTGGACCTCACCCAGCCAGGCCATCCGGGCAGCCAGGCGCCACCCAGCCAGGTTACSTAGCTGCCATCACTTTCTCCCCGGAAAGTGCACAACAGGTTGAATAGCAAACAGACATACTGTTGATTAAAAAAAAATAATAATAATAAATAACAGAGTCAAAACAGACATCATACTGCAAAACAACCCGACTGACAGGCGAGAACAGAACTTTTCAATGTTGTTTGATGCAGATCCCAGGAGCCGTGGTCCATCGATGCGCAAATGAAAACCTTGACAAGCGAGGAGAATGTCAAGAAAATTTTCAATTTTGTTTCTGAGCACGATACCTGAATTCCAAACGTAACAGTACATCTCCGAGGAAGATTCCCATCATACTGTAGATGCTCATTCAGTTGGCCTTGCGTGCATGACGGCGACAGTTTTCGCCCATTCTCTCCATCCGACGACGGTGTGGATGCACCCCCCCCACTTGAGGTGGAGGGCAAGCTGTCCGCAGCGTCCAAGACCCCGTTCCCATTTCCAACAGCCTTGGCACCCTCTGCAGTCCCGTCACAGCCCAGAGGGATTGCGCTAAAACAGCCCGTAGTCAAAACACCATCTGGAAAACTGTCCTCTACAGCAGGCGGATCTACCTGGGGCATTTCTGGAACGAACACCCAGCGGCACTTTATAGCATACAGTCCTTGCTTCTTCCATGAAATGCCAAGCGACTGAAGTGCACGGAAGACTTCCTGCATGATCTCTGCAAGGGGAGCACGCGACTGCTCATGCACATCGAAGCAAAGACAATCACAGTAATAACTCAGGAGTGTCAGCACCCGTCCACCCTCGGCAGGCAGGGGACATGCCAAACGAGATACGACCAAGTGATCAAAGAGAGCCATATAAACGCATCACATCGTACAAGAACTAGTACATCAGAGTGTCTTTTCACAGTGGCGGATTCCCATCGCACGCCAAGCTTTGCCGGACCGTCAGCGGCGCACTTCTTTTTCTTTTTTGGCTGGCACCGTCAGCTAAGCTATTGTGGTCGGATACCCCGGGGCCCCCGAAAGTTTTGGATTGGCTTCATTTCGGTTCTCAAGTTTTGCCTGGGTGGTCCTGGTGCATTAACGCATGTCATCGTGAAGTCCGCAGAAATGCACATCAAACGATGTCTACAGACCAAAAAGCACCTCAAAGCATACATACATGGGTGCTTTGCACTGCAGTAGACTGCAGCTGCAGACATGGGCCAGATCTGCAGCATATCACCATAGCATGCAAGCCAGCCTTTCCACTCGGGGCAAGCACAGTTGTGGCGATCGCACCTTTCATTACACCCTCGATCATTCACAGTCTCAATGTTACACAACCAGCAGCACCTCCCACTCTCACCAACGGACAAAGTCCCAAGGCAGTGGCAGGCAGCGAAACATCATCACAACTCCTAACCGCGTCTGCCAATCAAAATGCGTTCGCTAGCTAGTACGTAAACACTTACTCCCCCAATATTGCAAGAAATGTGAGTGCAATGCAATCAAGCAATAATGCTCTGGGCCCCCGTAAAAACAACAACGATCTTCAAAAGTTTTGGAATGTAGCTCAGCTTCAAAACAGAAGCAATTCCGCAGAATGCAACTACGTGTCCTTCCTTCAGGTCCATCATGGAACACAACAAGGAACACATGAAGATATCTCCTAGATGCAGCATCCATCACCCCTGAGGAGTCATCTTGATGCCGTGCCATGTTTGTTGTGACCAAAATAGGCTAAGGATCTTCTGTTCGCATGCCCATGACTTCTCAAACTGCGCCCCGTGAAGTTTGTGATATCAGACTGCTTTATAGTGTGGTTCAATGTACTGACACAGTCCGCTCAAGAATGTGCAAATATGAAATCCCGCGGACGAAGCCATCAGAAAAAAGGTTTCTGATGCTGGCTTGCTGAGTCGCCATCTGACACGGCACCCTGTGCAAAAGCACGCAAGCACAGGGCAACAAACAGAACAATTGTTTCATCCCTGCGCACTTGTACTGAGCGTGCGCCCCAGTTCCATCGACCCGCAGGCTGGCGTCAGCAGGTTCAGGAACATTTGATGGAGAGCGGCTTTGCCATCTGTCCATAGCCAGCCGGCTCCACTTTTCCCCGCAGACATAGGCCATGTTTTCGTGTGTGGCCATCTTTCTCACAACTCTTGTTTTTCAGTGTCGCAACATAACAAGAGTCGTTTCCCCACCAAGCCATGTTGTCGTGTGTGGCCATCATTCTCGGTGGCTTGAGGAAAAGCGGTTTCATACTGGTTCCAATGGCCTCCTTGGAACAACTGAGACGGCTTTTCACCTCAGAGAGACTCCAAGGTGAAGGTGGCACATGGCATGCGGATTGGAAACTGCACAAGTACAGAGAGTCCGCTGTCGTGTTTTCAGTGCCACAACATAACTACAGTCGGTTCGCCACCAAGCCATGTCTGTGTGTGGTGCTATCTTTCTCGGTGGCTTGAGGAAAAGCGGTTTCATACTGGTTCCAATGGCCTCCTTGGACAACTGAAACGGCTTCACCGCGGAGAGACTCCAAGGCGAAGGGTGGCACAAATACATGCGGATCAGAAACTGCACAAGTACAGAGAGTCCGCTCTCGTGTTTTCAGCGCCACAACATACACAGTCATGTGGCTATCTTTCTCCGTGGCTCGATGAAAAGCAGTTTCATACTGGTTCCAATGGCCTCCTTGGAACAACTGAAACGGCTTTTCACCGCGGAGAGACTCCAAGGTGAATGTGCCACATGACATGCGGATCGGAGACTGCACAAGTACAGAGACTTGACACCACGACACATCTGGAGGAACACAGGACACTTAGGACTCCACATCCCAGATTTGCTCCTTTGCAGAGCCAAAACCAACGCAGCACCCGAAATCACACACTATAGGACCAAGGAAAAAGTCACCAGCGAAGAGACTAAGAGACGAAGATCGCACACAACGTGCAGATTGAGAAACTGCACAAGTACAAAGCCGACACACACGAAGACAGTATTCTGGAGTATCATCGCGCAGTCAGAACTAGAGCTCCCAAACTTGCATCTTCGCCAGATGACATGCGGATCGGAGACTGCACAAGCACAATTCCTGCACTACCAATGAGATGCCGGGTGACAGAGCTACGAGGGGAAAAAGCTGCCATTTCTTTTTTTTCCCCCTCCCTTGATGATGCGACACACACGTTCCATTTTAAGAAGAAGATGGATGAAGGTACAACAGCTACAGCTGAACATTTTTTGCACTACCTACGAAATGACGGGTGCCAGAGGTACGAGTGGACAGAGCTGCCATTTTGTTTTTCCCCTCCTCCCTTGATGCTGGGGCATTTCTGTGGCCCCCAAGATCAGCCTAAGCCTGAGCTCGTTTTGTTTTTCAGTGTTTTCGACTTTTCACTGTTTTGGGCTGCCTTTTCATTTTCCTTTTGCAGTCCCCTCGCATTTCCTTTCGGCCTTGCACTTTTCTGTGTTCCTTGATTTTCAAGGTTTTATCAGTGCCTCAGTCCGGTTCCTATTCCMCCGGCAAGTCAGGGAAAAAAAAAAAAAAAAAAAAAGTTTTTATCAGTGCCCACTGTGGTTGTACACAGTTGAATGCAATAGCTAGTGCATATAATATATACTAACTAGTAATTACTAATTACTGTATACAATAATTAAAATTACTATAATCATAATGGGGGTTGCCAACCCTCCCCCAATCATAATGTGCTCCCTTGGGAGCTGAGGAAGGGAGGAGATACAGAGGAAGCAACAATGAGTTTGAGAGAGGAGAAAAAGACGAGTATACTCAGGAAAAGAGAATAAAGTTGAATAAACTCGTCCTTCGGGACATCCGTTAAAATTGGAACGATACGGAGAAAGAAGATAAGCATGGCCCCTGCGCAAGGATGAAGGCAATAAATCGAGAAACGGTCCAATCTTTTTTGGGGGGGGCACTGAAAAAAAAAAAAAGGACGATAAAGTCTTACAGAACACCGTTCGGTTTGTTCTTGAGATATGTGAGAACACTTGGAGCAGAGACGTGACAAAAAGAAAGACACGATGAGGGATTGAAGCTAGGCTACCAGAGTGGCCGGGGACCGCTTGCCCGGCCGGGCCAAAAGAAAAGAAAAAATAAAACAGAAGTTAATTTTTTCTTTTATTTAAAAAAAAATGGTAAGTAATTCCGATGTGAGTCATGTGACCCTGAGGCAAAAGTTTGTTCACTTTATTATTCTGCACATAAGCAGCATGACAGAGATTTTTTTTCCAGTCTTTTTTTTTCTTTTCCTGGGACCACCTTTGGCACTTGCAAGGCCGGGACGCCTGGGCAAACGGTGACCGGGGCAGTCCGTCTGGTAGCCTAGGATTGAAGTTCATTGAACCATCAGAGTTCACGGCAATTGAAATATGCTCAATGCCATTAAAGAAGGAAAATGAGAGATCGATTAACCTCATATCCGGAGACGCCAGTCCACAGAGACTAAACTGTCCACTAAAGATGCAAGAAAAGAGATTGCAGCAACTGCTAGCAAGTGGCAAAGCCATACCGAAAAAGGGGGCACGGAAATGTGAAAAGGAGCTAATCAGGCTGAAGAACAGTGATAAGCAGAAGGAAAGAAAGGGAAAAAAACACAAGAAACATGAAGAACAGTGATAAGCAAAAGGGAAAAAAAGAAAGAAAACACAAGAAACATGCACAACTGACAAGAGATACCAAGCATGGAAAGTTGGAAACAAATGAAACTGAAGCAGCTGCAAGGTCACAGGATGCGGTGAGATGACTGCCAGCCACATTTCATTTGGGAGTTGGCGATAACAGGCAGAGACGGAACACTGATGATGAACAATCGCGGTCGGGCTTCAGGAGAACTCACGGTGGTCGCCTGGCTCCTCCATTTTTCAGTCTGCTACAACAGACACAGAGGGAAAACCATAGACGGAAATGATTGAACAGTACAGTTCGCAAGTTTTGACAAAAAGAATACTAAAAAGGAAGAACACGGCGTATGCCCAGAAATAATAGGAATGGCAAAAGCATACAAATATTACAAAATCATCATGTCATCTCATGTACTCAGCAATGAAAGGGATTGACCCCCAGTTTAGATATAAATAAATCGCTTCTGCCAGACAGCGGGCAAGGAACACGCCATTCAACAGAAACAGCACACCACGACCCACGCCTCAAATGATCGAATCATACAGCAACATATAGCGAAGAAATTCAAGAAAACACAAACATAATCGACATCACGATTGCCACTCTTCCACGTTCTACGCATCACTATCATTTTACGGGACTACAACTTTCACAATGATGCTCACCAAACGACAAAGGAAGTAAAAGAAAAGCATCAGACAAAGGAGCAATAGAAAACGAAACTTAACAAGAAACCGAAAATCTTCGACGGAGATGCAGACTAATTAATCACCAAGAGTCCCGATAAATAGCTCTCTCAGAAGTCAGATCGCTTCGACCCAACTGAGAAACAACTTTCCAGCGAAAGAGGATTCCAGACCAACCTCTGACGATGGGACTGAACACAAGAATGGCTGGGTCCCAAGAGGGCCACCAGTCAAGGCATCCGATAATACCAGAGATGATTGCTTTTACCAACGTTACAACCGATAATAACAACATTGATTCCTTACTTCTAAACATCAGACACATGTCCCGTAAATCACTCTGCAAAAGAAACCACAACGGTTTCCCTCAATGTGCATTCACATTTCCAAGACGACAATCAGAACACTGGTCATGACTACTGAAACGGTTTTCACCTTCGTGGTAGCAGATGCAGATCCCAGGGCTCGATCCCTAGACCTGCCCCGAACCCATGTACAGTACAGTTTGCCCCATCTAGGTTTGAACCCGTGACCTGCCCCTGAAGTTGTCTGTTTAAGGCTGTAGTACATACGAGGGTTGAGTAGGTTCGAGCTGCTTACCTGTAGGGTAGGAGTCGTAGCTTATGTCTGGTCGTAGCCGCTGTAGGTCTGAAGGGTCAACCTTAGTCGTAGTGCTACAGTACCGAAAGGGCAAGTAGGAAGGTCTAGAGTCTTCTAGGACTGCCCCTTTGAGAGTCTTGGCAGCAGTCCGTAAGCAAGTGGGCAAGTGGGCAAACTTTACCAGTTCCAGTCAGCGGTACCCAGTCGCAGTCGCACCTTGTCCAGTCAGCAAGTACCATGTGGGACTGTGTGCATGCTAGGTCCGATGGAAAGGAGCAGACTGGCGACCAACCAAAGTATAAATCAAGAGGCAGCGTCCAGTTATTCATTCATTCAGACTGAGTCTTGTGGAAGCGCTTCCTGAGCGACTTGTGCAAAGGCTGTCTCTTATACACATCTAGATGTGTATAAGAGACAGATGTGGGACTGTGTGCATGCTAGGTCCGATGGAAAGGAGCAGACTGGCGACCAACCAAAGTATAAATCAAGAGGCAGCGTCCAGTTATTCATTCATTCAGACTGAGTCTTGTGGAAGCGCTTCCTGAGCGACTTGTGCAAAGGAGGTCTGCAGGTGCCCGAGGAAGAAGTGGGGCTGAGAGGGAGATGAAGCGGCCATAGCCGCTAGTCAGTGGTAGAGTTAGCCAGCAGCCATAGCTGCGCTACGTCAGAGATAGGCTACAGCGTGTTTGTGTATGAGGGTGCAGTGAGTTGTGTGCGTGTGTGGGACATCCAGGGAGATCCAGAGTAGCGTGTGGGTGAACAGTTGCTGAGGATGCAGCGTGGAAGGGTGTTGCGAGGGCGCACAGGCGCCATAGCCATTCGAAGCAAGTTGAATCTGAACTGTGTTCTTGGCCACGATGTCTCTGGGCTTTGTGTGGGCGCTCGTCTCCAGTGTGATTGCGCTCTGTTTTCAGGCATGCTGAGTAAGAAAGAAGACGAGTCCGACTGCACCACTCAGCTAGACATCTAAAAGCCTCTAGGCAAGAGCCCAGTACGACCCTGTATGCCCTGGCAAATTCGACTCAATAAAAGTGACGAGCTAGGAGCGACAGGGAGGAGCAGCGGCGCTACATTTGGGCAGCCGAGAGCGGGAGTCTGGGATGAGCAATATCCAGTGTTGTTCTGGCCGTTCTGTACACGGTTGCGAGCACCAATTTTTGCAGCCTGCTCAGTGGAGCCAGGTGCCCAAGCGGACATATATGGTTTTTCCTCGTTCTTATCGAGTATGCTTATGTGGTCCCAGGTCCTTCAATACGGTGTTGGTGTAAAGCTTCCTATCAATTGTGATTTTCATAATTCTGCCTCCGATTCACTTTCTTTGCGTGATGTGCATGGGACGTAATTGAAGTCCGGCAAATTCCTAACAGGCAAAAGCAATGAAATATATCACGTCTGCTGTGCAGGGGAAAGGAATCGGCAACCGAGTACTATTTCACACTAACACAGTTCGAGGGGTGAATCATCAGAGGGCCATCGGGCTTCCCTGTCGTCCAGGGCCGGGAGGTTTGGTTGTCGAAGATCTAAATCTAAATGGTATTTCTTTTCACAGTTATAGCCTCCGATATATCTCAGGTCCATTCACAAACAGAAACACACAAGGCACCAACGAGCCTAGCTCACTTGGTACGCCCACATACTGTTGAAATACAGACCGGACTTCGAATCCAGATGCAATCAGACGGACAGAATAGAAAGGAGCACACGAGGCATTCCGTTATCCAGCACAAAGCGGTTCAATTCGTCAACCCCGGCCTATTGACACAGCTGTGACATCATTGTGCAAAAGGATTAAAAACACACACACAAATCACTGCACCAACTAAGAACGGGCGTGCAGCAGAACATAAAAAGAGTAAAGAGAGTTGATTGTTGCCTTACCTGAATGCCAAGGACCCATTTGCGCTCAGGAGAGCATCTATGAGGCATCATCGAACCTGTGGATGGTCTCCTCCACCCACTTCCTCCGTTGTGAAGGAATCCCGCACCCATTCCCGGCCGGTTATAGTTATCCATCATCTGATGTGAAGGCCTCCCATGCTGTTGTGTCACATACTCCTACATACACAGTTTACGTCATCAAAACAGAAAACCCATCATCAGGACGTTAAACAACCAGTCCATCCACAGCTAAACTGATCAACCAAAAAGTTGCAAAAACTCCATTTCGCTGAGAGCCTAAAAGTGGACCTGTACCGGCCGTTGGAACAGTCGACTTGGTGCAGGTACCACAGCCTCCGAATTATTGAAAACTCTGGGCCCCCCACAGACATCTTGGGTAACATACTCATTAATTTCCATCATCTGGATTCGAACCCGGGCCTGTATTTCAACAGTTCATGGGTGTACCCGCTGAGCTAGGACATCTTCGGTAACATACTCGTCAAAAATTTCCATCATCTGGATTGGAACCCGGGTCTGTATTTCAACAGTTCATGGGTGTACCCGCTGAGCTAGGCTCTAGACTCACAGGGCGCGTACCCCTCCATTCCATGAGAAACTTGAAAAAGAGGGTGGGAAGCAAGAACACAGAAGAGAAAACATACCGGTGTCTGGTATCCAGGAGGTCGAGCAGGATTAACAGGAGGACCCGAATGCTCACAACCCCAGCTTCTGTTGCAGGCACATGGCCGAAGGCCCTTGCGCATATGAACAGACCCCTGCAAACCACAAACAAGCAGTCCAGCTGTCAAACATAGTGAGGGGCATATTCAAAGCAACGCCGTGAACTAATTGCAACACCAAACAGGCAACCCAGCAAGAAGACAACATTGTGAATCATAATTTTTTGCAGGCGGTAGAACAAAGGAGCATGCCTAGGACGGGAATAGTCAAAGCCCTGTTCCACACATGCACAAATTCAGCGCATCCACACTGAAGCTGGGGAAAAGTCAAAGTGCTCGAAGTATGAGGAGTCCATTTCCCAGCAATAGCATGCATGACACACCGCATCCAAACGAAACAATATAGGAACGAGTCTTCTCTTAGCAAACAGAGACCAACTCTTTGATTCAAGCCCAGAGCAGTGACATTGCCGTCGGCAGTGCATCAAATACAAGCATAAGGCGAGAGCGCTGACATTGCCGTCGGTGGTGCATCAAATACAAGCATGTGCATCGAGCTGGAAGAACACCTGAGCTGCATAAGCAATGGAACAACCGCATCATTCCTCAACAAACCCATCCCCCACCCAACCCATATTGTGACGGGGCTGATGCAGAGCAGCGAGGCCGGGGAAGAGAGAGGGAGGGAGTGAGAGCACACACACACACTCACTCGACTCGACACGGACTCGACGCGACTTGACGGACGCAGACACAAAGTGGCAGTGGTAAAGTCGCAAGTCACAATCTCGGTTCCGAACACAATGTCGCAGCAAGTCACACTGAAGCACAAGCACTGAGGCCGAAAACTGAATGCCCGAACTCAGCTCGAGTCCGGTCTTAAGTACCGGACTCGAGTTGCATCAGAGGGCAGAAGTGCAATTTGCCTCGAGGCTGAACTGAAAATCGAAGGTCTGAGTCTGGGCGCCAGAACACCGGATGATGCCAAGTATCGAAATCCGGAAGTGCCAGAGGCGGGATTTGAGAACGGGCGCCAACTGCAGAGGGCGCCAACAGTCAGGAACCGGAGATCAGAGACTCAAAAAAAGTGGAACAACAGCCTGGCGGGTGGTAACCCACGGACCATTACCCACGGACCATTGGAAGGCAACGTCCCGGCTACCAAAGACCCAATGAACAACTGTGAAGAACGGGACAGGGCCGATCACTGTTCAGAAATGGAAAGGGGGAGTAATGCAAGTAGCAGGGTAATCCTATGGGGGTTCTACATGGATGAGGGAATCAATGTTCAGGTAACAGGGTAATCCTATTGAGGTTCTACAGGGGTGAGGGAATCAATGCTCAAGTAACAGGGTAATCCAACTAAGGTTCTATAGGGATGACGGAATCAATGCTCAAGTAACAGGGTAATCTTATTGAGCTTCTACAGGTAACAGGGCAGTCCTATTGGTGTTCTACAAGGTTGTGGGCTGTCAGGTTTAAGGAAAAAAAAAAAAAAAAAAAAAAAAAAAACCATTGTTTGTTCAATGCTCAAGTGGTGGGGTGTCTGAGGAAGTCTGGGAAAACAACGTCTCAGGTCTGTAACGAAGTGTCAGAGGCGAAAAATGTCTTGAGGAAGGTCTTGGCGGGTGTCGCAGAAGTGCCAGTGAGGAAGCAGTCTTCAGCAGTTCTGTGATATGGACGGCGAGGGCTTCATTGTCCCAGTAGCAGGTTGCGTCCGGTACACGATCTGGTGACGAGGTCTGATCCGGATAGCAGGTCGCAGACTGATCTTGATGTCCATGTCAGAGGTGCTGCTCCAGAAGTCTGCGAGTCCAAGGCGCCGGCCAAAGGGAACAGCATGGTGGCCAACCRGCTGTCTTATCTCCTCGTACTGAGCTGCAGCATGCCATCGTCCTCGTGCGCYTGCCATTAGATCCATTATCGCCGGCGACGCGCAGGGGCCACATAGACAACTTGGACAAGAGAGACAAGGATGTGGTGGAGGAGAGGTGGGGGAAGGGGGGGGGGGGGGGGGTCAAGAGGCAAGGGCTTCGTTGGGTACAGAGGCAAGGGCTTCGCTGGGTACAGGGGTGTGTGTAGACCAGGAATGCGGGGCTTTGGCGGGGTCAAGGTGGGGTTTATGCAACGGTTTATGGTTTGAGTTATATTATGTATCTAGGATATAGGGTGAGCACGATCATAGGCGTGAACAAGTTTCATAGCATTCTTAAGGTTAGCAAGAGGTTCCCATGCGGATTCTTCGTCAGGGTATCCTGCCCATTTAACGTTGTATTCTGTGATTGGTTCAGTGTGGTCAGATACCTGAGTAGTTGTTCGTCCTATGATGGCTTCGAGGACGAATTCAGGGCCTGTGAGTAACATGACTGGTGGAGGTCTAGGGCATGGGTGGTCAGCAAATTGGGGTGGGGATTCACGGTATTCTTTTAGGTATTTGACGTGGAAGACAGGGTGGACACTACTCATGTCAGCAGGGAGTTGAGTTTGTAGTTGACGGGGGCGGTTTTTTCAATGATGGGGAAGGGTCCGAGCCACTTGTTCGAGAGTTTCTTGGACATACCGTGTTCGGGTTCAAAGGGTTTGGCGGAGAGCCAGACTTTGTCCCCTTTTTTGAATGACACGTCGCGTCTGTGTTTGTTAGTCTTCTTGACTTCTTGTTCTTGTGTTCGTTCAAGGGCTTCGGTAGCTTCTCTGAGGAGTCTGTTCATTGTTGCCACCCATTCCTTGGGAGAGAAGGGCAGGGGGTGTAGGGGTCGAGTTGTGAAGGGAAAGTGTTTGGCGGAGAGCCATACTTCGTCCCCTTTTTTGAATGACACGTCATGTCTGTGTTTGTTAGTCTTGTTGGCTTGTTGTTCTTGTGTTCGTTCAAGGGCTTCAGTAGCTTCTCTGAGGAGTCTATTCATTGTTGCTACCCATTCATTGAGGAGTCTTTTCATTGTTGCTACCCATTCCTTGGGAGAAGGGCAGGGGGTGTAGGGGTCGAGATGTGAAGGGAAAGCGTTTGGCGGAGAGCCAGACTTTGTCCCCTTTATTGAATGACACGTCACGTCTGTGTTTGCTAGTCTTGTTGGCCTGTTGTTCTTGTGTTCATTCAAGGGCTTCGGTAGCTTCTCTGAGGAGTCTATTCATTGTTGTTACCCATTCATTAAGAGAAGGACAGGGGTTGGAGGGGTTGAGTTGTGAAGGGAGCAAGAAGTCGGAGGGCAAGCGAGGATGGTAGCCAAGGTCGAGGTAGAACGGGGACATACCAATTGAAGGGCAGAAGGCATTGTTATAGGCGATCTCGGCGGCTGTGAGCAACTGCGGATGACAATACTTCCGCAGGATTCTTTGGAGAGTATAGTTCATCTTCTCGGTTAGTCCATCGGTCTGGGGGTGGAATGCAGTGCTATACTTGAGCGCGGTTCCGTAGGATTTAAAGAGGTGTTTCCAAAATTGTGAAAGGAAGCGAGGGTCACGGTCCCTGATGATGTTCTCGGGGAGACCGTGATAGCGTGCGACATGGTCAAAGAAGAGAACGGTGACGTCCTTGGCGTTGTGCAATGTGGTGCAAGGGATGAGGCCGGCGCGTTTAGTCAAGCGGCAAACAAGGACATAGATGCAATCACGTCCGCGGTCGACCGCAGACAAAGTCCATGGAGATGGAATGCCACCGGTGGGTGGGGATCGGCAATGCTTGCAGCTTGCCGAGCTTGGCGTGGTTTGAGGGGTTGACGGGGCGTCGAGAGAGGGCATCAGCAACGCGGTTGCTTTTGCCGGGGGTGTGGCAAATGGTGAATGTGAACTGGGCAAGAAAGTCTACCCAACGGGCTTGGCGCGGCGTGACGTCTTTCTTGGTGAGGATAGAGCAAACGAGGGCGTTGTCCGTGCGGATGGTGAAGTATTGCCCGTCGAGGTACGGGCGCCAGACTTTGAAGGCAGGGATCACGGCGAGGAGTTCCTTCTCGTTGGAGGGGTAGTTCATCTCCGCGGGAAGGAGCTTCTTGCTAGTGAAGGCAATGGGGTACTCGCCGGGTGGAGCCTCGGGGTGGGTGGGGGAGTTTTCGATGGAGGGGGTTTCAGAGGTGTCGCGGGGCAAGTGTTGGGATAGGACGGCTCCAAGGGCGAATTCGGATGTGTCAGTGGTAACGTAGAAATGTCGAGACGGGTCGGCGATCTTGAGGACGGGGGCCGTGGTGATGGTTTGTTTGAGAAAGTCGACGGCGTTTTCGCGGCGGTCGTTCCAAGTGAAGGGTTCGTCCTTGCGGGTGAGTTCGTGGAGGGGGTACGAGATGTCGGAGAAGTTGCAGATAAACGGGCGGTAGTAGTTGGCAAGGTCGAGAAATGAGCAAAGTTGGAAAAGGGTCTTGGATGTTGGATACTCGAGGAGGGCGGTGACCTTCGAGGGGTCCATGCGGATACCTTCATCGGAGACGATGTGGCCAAGGTATTCCACGCTTGAAGCGGCAAAGGTGCATTTGCTGAGCTTGGCGTAAAATTTTCGCTCTCTGAGGATACAAAGGACTTGGCGGAGATGCTGAAGGTGGGACTCGAAGGTGGGGCTATAGACAAGGATATCATCGAGGTAAACGACGACACAGACTTCGTGGAGGTCGCGAAAGATGTGGTTCATGGTGGGTTGGAATGTGGTGGGCGCGTTGGTGAGTCCGGAGGGCATCATGAGGAACTCGTAGTGCCCGAAGCGAGAATGGAATGAGGATCTGGTGGAAGCCACTTCGGAGGTCAATTTTGGTAAATTATTTGGCTCCACTGAGGTGATCAAGAAGCTCTGAGATCCAAGCCAGGGGGAACTTGTTCCTGATCGTGGTCTGATTCAAGGCGCGGTAGTCTGTGCACAGCCGGAGTTCCAATGTTTGTGCCTTTCTTGACGAAAAGGCACCTTGTGCCGAAGGGGGATGAACTTGGCTTAGTGAATCCTTTTTCAAGGAGTTCATTGAGTTGCCGCTTCATTTCTTTGGCTTCCGGAACGGAGAGTTGGTACGGAGGGCGGCAAGGTGGAGAGTGACCGAGATCCAAATCAATGGTGTGGGATACCCCACTATCCAGAGGCGATCCGGCGGACAAGGACTCGGGGAAAACGTCCTTGAACTCGTCGAGGATGGAGGTGAGGGTGGGGTCGGAGGGTGGGGCTTGGTCGGATTTATCTGTTGGGAGCAAGTTCTCCGGACGCTTGCGATCAAGGACAAGGCAATAGTAGGTGGAGTCAGGGTACGTACGAGCCATATGAAGGAATTAGTGTGCGGTGATGGAGCTTGGGGAGGGTGGATAGGGGTGATAGGGAATGTCGATGGTTATGTCAGGGGGGTTGGCAAGGCGGATGAAGTTGAGGTGGAACGAGTATGGCATGTAGCAGTCCAGCCACGGTGTTCCCAAAACGATGTCGCACATTTAAGTGCATGACATCGAATGAAACCTGACTACGGAGGGTTCCGACAGTCATGGTGGTCTCGGGAACCGTGCGATCTACTACGACGGCAGTGTCTTTTTCCCCTGAATGAATCGTAATCGGGGAGTCCTAACTAGTAGAGGTAAGACCGGCATTTTGGACACGCGTCGGTGATGAAGTTACCGGTGGCTCCAATGTCGAGGACGGTCCGGAACTTGGTCGTAGACGCACCAAGGGTGGCGATGATGAATTTGAGGTGAAAGCATGATGAGTTCCCAGTGCAGATAATGGTGTTGAGGCGACGTTGTTCATTGCCAAATCGGACAAGCTGATCGAATCGGGCTTGTTCCTCGACAACATCAGAGAAGGTGACAAAGGAGGGATTCAAAAGGAGGGTTGAGGAACATGTGGCAGTGAGGGGGGCGTCAGGCGACGTGGGTTGGGGCGCCTGGGGGTCGTCCTGTGGAATGTGCAGCACCGGGGAGGGGGGAGGCAGACTTGTTGTCCATGCCAAATGGGTCACCGGTGGGGTGGGATCGTCACCGATGGGATTGCCGGCAGACTAGTCGTCGATGCCGGGGCGGGTTCGTGGTGATCATGGGGACAATGTTCAAGTGGAGGAGGGGCCGTGAATGGCGGATGCGGAAGCGGCTGGTTGGGAAATCGCGGACCTGGGTGCTTGACGTGTGAACTGTCTGGTATTCGGACAACTTGTTTGCTGATGTCCTAACTGTCAGCACCGGAAACATCCACCCTTAGCTTGGAGGTAGGTTCACTCCTCCGGCGTGAGTTTCGTGAGACGGGTTCCGGGGGTGTTTATGGGAGGACGGCTGGTGCGTTCTCTCCTTTCCATCTGCATGAGGTGAATGGTAGAGAGTTCGTCAGAGGAAAGCGATGTGGTGTCCAGTGGATCGGAGAGGGTGTCGGGGTCGGGGGTGGTGAACTCGTCCGAGGAGGTGGTGGAGGTGGTGTCCTCAGAGGCGATGTTGTGGAAGAAGCAAGGGCGGGGAGGGGCCGATGTAATTGCGATCTTGTAGGGGGAGAAGAAGCAGTCGATTTGGAGGGCACGAGTGAGGAGGTCGGCGAGGGGCATGGGTGGCTCGCGGACAAGGGCGGCCGCTAGGTCTTTGCGGCATACGCACTTAACGCTGGAGATGAATGAGAAGTCGTTCACAATATCGATGGGGATATGTTAACGAAGCGAGCGGACGTATTGTACAAAACGGTCGGTTGAGCCGTTTTGTTGGAGCCGGCAGAATTGGTCGATGTAGTCGTCGACCATTTTCTATGGACGGAAGGTTGGAGGTGATGAGGATGGCCCACTCAAGGAAGGTGTGAGGTCGGAGATTGGCGTGATGGCGGTTGGTCATTTCGGTGTACCACCAGCGAGCGGCGCTGTCTAGGAGTCTGCTGCCGACGATGGGGAGCCAGTGGACGACAGGAATGTTGTGGAGGGAGAAGGTTTGTTGAAGTTTGGTGAGAAAGAGGAAGACATCCTCATGGGGTTGGCCTGACAAGGTGGGAATCTCATTGGCGCGAAAGGATGGAGGGATTTTGCCTTCCCTGGGGGTAGTTGCGGCAAGGGCGTTGAAATCAAGGGTGGGAGAGGAAGAGTCGACCAGGGTGAAATCGTTGGCGGGGTTGGTGGGGATAAGAGCATTGGGGAGGAGTAGCGGAAGGGTGGGATACATAGCTTGTGGAATAATCTGGGTATAGCTGGGGAGGGTGAAGGTGATAACGGATGACGTCAAGACGGGTTTTGATTGGGGGGGAATGGTCGACGACTGTGTGACGGCGGAGGTTGTCAGCTGGGTGACTATGGTGGGGGTAGTGGTAGATGAAGGCGGGGGTGTGGATGACGTGCTGGCGAAGAGGGCGGTGGATGTGGGGGAGGAGGTGATTGGTGTAGATGTGGGAGCGGAGGGTGGGGGAATGGTGGTGGCATCCGAGGCCCGGGGAGGGGACGTGGTGGTGACGGCCTGGATGGCGGGGGTTTGATTTTCCATGGCAGTCACGCGGGCAGAGATGGTGGAAACGGGTGTTTTGATGTTGTCGATGGATGAGTGGAGGGATGTCATCATGCGGAGAAGTGTCACGAGGTCGGAGATTTGGGGTAAGATTTTACAAGAAAATGTGAAAATTTCAAAAAAGGATTTAAGTAATTCGAAAATATTCCCGGATTAAAAAAAATAAAATAAAAAAAGAGGATATCATAAGGCGTTTTCAAAGTTCAAGAAAAAAATCAAAAAGCGTACAAGAGAAAGAATTAATTAAAATTATTTTCGAATTTAAAAAAGGAAATACCGAAAAATAATTTAATTAATTCTAGCATATCTTCAATTTTTTCGAAAAAAAATGAATTAAAAGTAGTTTCGAGTATCAAGGAAATGTCGACAAAGAATTCATTCGAATTACCAAAAGGAAAAGAGTTTAATTAATTCTAAAATACTTTCCAGTTACAAAATTTCCGAAAAAGAATTGATTAGGAATTTTTCCGAATTACGAAAAAGAATGTCGAAAAGCATTTAATTAATTCTGAAATATTTTTGAACTACAAAAATTTCAAAAAAGAATTAATTAAAATTATTTCCGAATTTCGAGGAAGAAATGCCAAGAAAGAATAACTAATTCTACGTATTTTCAAAAGTTTCAAAAAAGAAAATATTTTTGGAAAAGAAATGTCGAAAAAGATAATTAATCAAGTATTTTCGAACGAGTTTTAATAAAAATATAATAAATAAATAGAGGGCAGAGCGATCCTATCTACAATTGATTGAGTGGTAGCGTGGTAGGTAGGGTTAAAAAAGGGGGTTGCACGGGTAGATTGATGATGATGATGATGATGATGAGAGGGGACGTGAGAG